GCTGAAACCAAGGGCTCAAGTAGAAAGAAAATGTTTTAAAAATGGTAACAGCAACAACACATGTACAAACATGTTTGAAATAATTGATGTACGGATTGTTATGAGAGTGGTTAAGAGCCGCCAATAAAATGATTTATTAAAAAAATTGGAGTCGCTACAATAATATCAGATAAAACAGGTGATAAGGCTAAAAGTATTGCTAGAGACAGAGGAACATTTTATAATAATGAGATGGTTAATTCATCAGAAAGATCTAACAATTATAAACTTCTATGCACTTAACAACCAGACACCCAAGTCTATGAAACAAACTTGAAGGGAGAAAGAGTTCAATGGTCAATAGCTAGAACGCCTAGACCGAAAAAGCGGCAGGATATGCAGAAGTTGAACACTGGCAACCAGAGTTCTACGTGACTTACGGAACATGACATCTAACAACAGCACCCTTGTAATATTCTTCAGGACAGACTATAAGTTAGGTCGTAAAATTACTATTTAAAATAATTTAAATCACACAAACTATAAATCAACAACAAAAAGGAAACCTGAGAAATTCTCAAATATGGACATTGAACACCGCGGTCCCAAACAACCAGTGGGTCAAGGAAGAATCTTACAAACAAGGATGAATGGGCACAGGGGCCAGGTCTCACCCAGGACACTTCACCAGGTCCCAGTGACTTGAGGCAAGGAGCAAGGAAATTCTGACATTTCCCATCGATTTTAATCAAAATACTGAAGTACATCAGCCCCACATCTGCTATGAGCAGATGCTCATTATGACCAAAGCCAGAAAGAATATGCAGGACAGATAACTAATACCCTACATTACTCAGGCCCTGATTCCTCAGAAGTTTTTTTTTTTAATTATTCCAGTAATTACCAGGAAGCAGTCAAATGCTGGGTTTCTCACTTTACTTTTATAAGGTCCCAAACACATCAGAACACAGTATAAGCTTAAGCACCTATTGGCAAATACTGCTTACTTGAACACAAGCCAAACACAGCATCAAATCAAAACCAAACTCACTGCTATTGAGTTGGTGTCGACGCATAGTAACCCTATAGGACAGGGTAGAACTCCCTCTGTGGGTTTCTGGGACTGTCACTTTTTAAGGGGAAGAGTAGAAAGCCCTGTCTTTCTCCCACAGGGCAGCTGGTGGCTTTGAACTGCTGACTTTGCTGATTTGCAGCCAATCCATAACCACTGTGCCACCAGGTTTCTTAGTATAGCACAGAAGACAGAAAATAGCTGTTACAAACCCAGACGTCCTGGCTTAACTCTCCAGGTCTCTCTCTCTCTCTCTCTCTCTCTCTCTCTCACTATACCGGGCAAGTGTTACATCCCTCTAAGTGGAAGCTTTCTTTCCTGAAGAATGGAAATACCTCACAAAGGGTGTTTCAGTGATTAAAATGCTTCCTCAGTATCTGGTCCATAGTAGGCATCTATTAGCTTCATTTTCTTTGTTCGCTAACAGCACAGAGCTAGAACTGTAGGCTAACCAGTTGGCAGGAGGAGCTCCCCTGATTTGTCCTGTTACCACAAAAAACACTTTCTCTAGGGCAGTGGTTCTCAATCTGTGGGTCACGAGTCCTTTGGCGGGTGGTGGTGGTGGATGACCCTTTCACAAGAGTAGCCTGATTCATAATAGTAGCAGAATTACAGTTATAAAGTAGCAACAAAAATAATGTTATGGTTGGGGGTCACCACAATTTGAGGAACTGTACTGAAGTGTCGCGGCATTAGGAAGGTTGAGAACCACTGCTCCAGTCAGAGGGTCAGAATCTGCGCGGTTCAAGGTGGGGGGTGGCCAAGATTGATGGGTGACTGGCGGCCTCAAGAACCCTACAGAACTTGTGGGAAAGGCACCAAGATAGGGGAGAAGACATGACCATTAACAGACAGCCAAACTACTTCTCGGCAGCAGCTTCCGTCTCTTATTGCTGCTCCTTAGGCTCTTGTGAGAAGTGGGCATTTTCTACAAATCCCTTTTTGTTGATGATTCGGAATGACTTTTGCCTAGGATCTACTGGAGACCCATCTGTTACCACAGGACTGGCCAGGCCTGCAAAAATTGTGGTGTGCATCTGCTCTCTCCTTCCAGGTCGGCCAGATTTCTATGCTTTGGTTACCCTTGCAAACAGCCGCTGCACCACCCAGGGAAGCAAACCTATGGTTGACCTGAGATTTAAACAGCAAGGGTGATGTAGGGCTACCCACCTAGACTTTGAGCTATAGGATGGAAGTCTAATTCATTCTGTTATCCCCAGAGCCTAGAACAATGCCTGGCACACACAGCTGAGAAACAAATATCTGTTGTATTTAATTGTTCTGAGACTATAACAACCTCATTCCAATCATACAAGAGAAAGTGCCTTTCCAGGAAAACTTGGGAGTGCTTACTGCTAAAAGGCCAATTTCTCTTTCATTTTGAAAACCATTATTGTACCAGCTCTATTACATGATAACAAGTAAGTTTAATAAAGAACAAAACATCTGCATTCAGAAGGGCAAGGCTGGGGGAAAGGGCTATTTTGTTACATAATATGATTTGCCTCAGTAAGCACCAGGGGTCATAAAAAGCTGTATCTAGGAACCACTTAAAAGGAATCTGAACAATATAAGCAAAACTCTGAAGGTCAGCTAAGCGCCCTGGGAACTCTTTCCCTCTCCGAGATTAAGTCCTGAGAAAAAGACGTATTTTGACACCTTGTCCTTTTAAAACTGTTTTGGTGAGGCCGACTGGGAAGGTGGGTTGGAGGGTAAGGTTTGAAACCTCACTACTTGGGATCAGGCCTGGCCCCTCTCCTTCCTAGCTGTCAAGTATACTAAGTGCTCAATACAGGTTCCACTTTTTGTTGAGATTGATACTACAGATTTTGGAATTATCCCAGGTAAAGAAACAGCTGACAGCAGAATCTGCGGGGAGGATCCAAATATTTACAGATGACATGGGTTTTTAAGACAAGACCAGCTAGGTACTCTGCAACACATACCTGGGAAAAGGGGGGAAACGAGAGTTTGATTGTGAATGGAACCCATCTATTAAGCCTCCCAAGAGAGGTTATCTGGGAACCAAGGTTTTCTGTGCCGTAGCAGGGTGTTACATCCTTTGCTGGAGAACTTTTCCCCCTATAGGCAAAGGTATCTCCTAAGTTAAACAGAGTAGGGGGTGGGGTTGTCAGGCCTCTCTGGCATTAGAGGTGGGTCCGAAAGGTAGGAAATGAAGGTAAGCAGTTACTGAAGCCGAAGTAACTGTAAAGACAAAAATCCAAACACACACAACTACTTAAACAAATAAATTTTAAAAAGTCAAAGCCAACATTTGTCAGCAGTGAAGGAGCAAGAGATCTCCTGTGGGGCGACGGGGTGGAGAAGCTCTCGGGAGTGTTACTACATGCCAGCAGCCTGTCCACACAAAAGCACCAAGCCAGGAGAGACTTGGGGCTCACAGGGCTCCGACAACAACTAGGGCCACAGAGTCCTTCTCAGATGAGACTGGCAGGAGCCTGTTGGACAGTCAGCTTCCTCACCAGCCTGGGCCTATAGGGTCCTGGTAACTGCCTTTAAAAAAAAAAAGTATCTGAAATTTCTAGGCCTTGATGTTGAGTCAAGAATAGTTTTGGAGGAAAACCAGACCCTATGGCCCAGCAGCTTGGTTAGAAATCAGTAAAATCAAGTTCACAACATCCTCCCGGCCTCATGGGTCACCTCCTCACAGTGATCCCTTCCTACCTTTCACCACTACTTGGCCTGCATCGGAAGCACCTGGTGGCATGATGCTTATGAGTTGGGCTGACAGCAAGTTTGGCAGATTGAAACCACCAGCCACTCCTTCAGAGAGATGGGGCTTTCTACTCCCATAAAGATTTACAGTCTTGGGAACTCACAAGGGCAGTTCTATCCTGTCCCAGAGGGCCATTGTTTGAGTTGGATCGAGTCGATGGCAGTTAGTGAGTAGTAGCCTGGATTGTCCGGAACAGAACACATTTTGAATAAAGGTGGTTTATTCTCACTGCCATCAAGTTGATGCTGAGTCACTGGGACCTTATATGACAAGGTAGAACTGCCCGTGAGGGTTTCAGGGCCTGTAACTCTGTACAGGGGGAGAAAGCCTCGTCTTTCTCCTCCTACTGTTGGTTTCAAACTGCTACCTTTGTGGTGAGCAGTCCAATGAATCACCAGTACACCACCAGGGATCCACACAGGTGGTTATCAGATATACATGGTTTGGGTTTTATCTCTTTCACGTCTTCACATATATACGAGTTGGCTGTTGGGGTGGTGGCAGGGAAATAAACCTTGTTAAAAAACAGGTAAGTCTACTTACCTGGAGAAGGAAACAAAGTTCCCCCTCACTCTCCAGCAGCAGCAGCAGCAGCACACACCTGACGTCCTAGTTTGGTCACGTTGTGCCTCAGAGCCCCAAAACACTGGCCCTGAGCAACACCTCAGAAAATGGCCTCAGCTGGGCTTGCCGGGCCCCTTTTCTGTTCTGTGGACCTTTCTGAGCCAGCTCAGTTCTATGGGTCTCTCCTCTCTCTGCCTCCGCCCTTGGAAGATGCTGCAGGGCTGGGAGCCCCATGTGCACAAAGGGTCGGAGAGGTGTAATTAGGCTCCTAATTAAATCACAGGGTCTCCCTCATGAGGGTCTTACCAAATGAAACATGAACAAGACACTTTTATCATTCAATTAAAAGCACGGCCAGAGCCGAATTTCTGGACTAAGAAACAGCAGGCTTAAACAAATTTAAAAAGAAAGAAAGAAAAAGCACAACCCCAAGAGTTTAAGGGACGCGGGCACCGGCAAGAGAAACAGGTTTCTTCACCCTGGCGGTTTGCTGCCTTGAAAGAAGGAACCAAATACAGGACTAGAAAGCAGAGCTTTCAGCCGGATGTCAAGACACCACCACACCACCACGGGACAAGAGGGAGGAAGGAGCTGCAGCTGGCTCCCTGCCCCTTGCAATTGTCAACATCCACAGAAACATTTCCTTACCTGCCAGGACCCTGTTAACAGAAGAGTGAGTAGCCAAGCCAGGCTGTCCACGTTCATGAAAAATTCCAGCATAAGGCAAGTACTCAGGCAGCAAGAAACGCCTACAAGAAGGAATCGTGTGTGAAAAGCCTACTAAATACTACCATACCACAAAGGGGCTAGTTTATCTCCCTACCCTTAAAAACCAGGGGCAAGGGGCCCAGTGAGCCCAAGGAATCCACAGCAGCCCACACAGGAGTACAACTCCCTCGGATCCATTCCTTCTCTAGTAAACTTGCCCAGGGCTTTCTCATCAACAGGATGTTCCCGATGCTACATTTCTATCTTTTTAATGTGGCTCATTTCCTCCTGTGAAGTCTCTAGGTGGCAGGGCTAGACTGTGGGCTCACTAGGACAGCCCACCGACCAGACACTAGGTTGACAAATTAAATTCTACACTCTCAGAAAGGCTTCCTCTGTGGCAGACTGTCCAGCTCTTACCTGGGGACAAAGCGTCCAAGCGAAGGTGCAGACATCCGGGCATTTCGGGGAGCTCGGTGCCTAGATCTATCGCCATTGTCCCTGAAGGAAACAAAAGAGACCACAATTAAGAGTCATTTAGGCAGAATCACCTGTAGACAAACATCCCCAACCCTAAATTACATCTGAGAGAAGACCTCACAGAAATGTGTCGCCTGACCACTCAGGAATTGGGTGGCCTCTGACGCACAGCCATTTAGTGAGTTTGGTAAGGAGGGTGAGGGTTTTCTTGTGAGCTAATGTGGTCTTTGAAACCCACAGCATGAGACTGGAGTCAAGTTTTTACTTTCCAAGGCATCTGAAATGGATAGATATATCAGGGAGCTTCAAAAGGTTTGTGGAAAAATGGACAACAGAAGAAGACAACGGAATATATATACACACACAAACTAGACTGAAAAATTATAAGAAGTTTTGGGTCTGGGGACTCTTGGAGAAAGAAAAAAACCTCCCATCAATTCCATTCAACAAATGATACCTTCAAATGAACTGGTTTAGGTTCCTGGTGTGGAAAAATCAGTGATGAGTGAAAGAAAACAACCAACACAAGAAGGATCTTCTGCTAGAGACTGAAAAATCAACAATGAGGAAGAATACTGAAAAAATGCAATCCTAAATCAAGTCATTTGAGTTTGCAACAAAAAGTTTGGGTGTTCCTTTATGGACCATTAAGTTCCTCTTCTACCATGTTTCCCTCTATTATTCTGTCTGATCCGAAGGCTCCCTAGCAGACTCTCTATGGACTTGGATACAAGTGGGAAAAGATTACCCAGTACATATACAAGAGTGCTTACAAAGCCCAAAGCTATAGGAGTAACCATTATTTGAGGACGGCAAAACGTCTTGTTGATTTTGGACACGTCAAAGACTGTGAAGGTGACACATGGAATAATGTTTCTTCTTCTCTTTTTAAAATAAATCATTTTATTAGGGCCTCTTTCAGCTCTTATTACAATCCATACATCAATTGTATCGAACACATTTGTATACATGTTGCCATCATCATTTTCAAAACATTTTCTTTCTAGTGAGCCCTTGCTATCAGCTGCTCTTTCCCCTCCCTCCTGGAGATGTTTCATTCTGTTATATACAGGTCATCAAAACTCAGAATTGACTCGATGGCAACTAATGACAGCAGCAAGTGTCAGCACAAGGATTACTCATGTTGTGACATCAAATCTTTTTAACTACCCCACTACCCCATGAGGTATTATTAGCTCTGTTTTATTGAAAAGGAAACTGTTTTACAGAAGAGGCAAAGTAAGATGCCCAGGGTCACCAAACTTCTAAGTGGCTGAGGCAGAAGTCAAAGCCCATCTGATGCTGAAGCCCTTGCTCTTTCTACCACACTTCACTGCTTCCCACAAGAGAGGAGAGTGGCTTCCTGTGGCCTAGTCTACAGTGCATCAAAAGAACAATAAGCCAAAGGGCACTGGCTGGACGGAGCAGTTAATTAGCTGCTTAACCAACTTCACAAAATAAATGAACCTCCGAGAGCGTCAATTGGAACATTTTTGGAATTATCCCCTTTGATTACCTTCAAACTAATGAGATTATCTTTAAACTGGCCCTGGAACCAAGGTTAAGACAACACATTGGCTTTCACGTGGGGCAGTGTGAGTCTCAAAAGCCAGAAAGGAAGGCCTATGAGACGTTTACATCTTGGTAAAATTGGCTGCTGAGCATTCAAAGACAAATCAACACAAGGGCTATTGGAAACTGGTCCATTAAAAAGCCAGTACAAGGTCTTTATTCGCCCCCCAAGATAATGCATGGCATTGTTTTCCTTAATACCTCATATTACCTTGAATTTCTTTGAACTGAAACTCTACAGATGGAGGGAAAAGCCAGGAGGGAGGGAGGGAGGGAGAGAGAGAGCGAGGGAGCAAGCGGTAAAACCACCTGGAAAGTAAAATGGGGATTAAAAGGAACATGAGATCAGAAATTCCTGACCAATAGACCACAGTCACTGGAACTTTAAAATTAGCACAAAGCCCTGGTAGCCACATGCACACAAAACAGGAGCTGACTACCAAACAAAGTAGATGGCTCTCAAATCAAGCATACTATTGTTTTTCAAATATACCTAGACTCCAAGTACGATTAGTAAAGTACTAAAACATTTAAAAGTACAATCAAATTCATGATAGCTTTTCATTATTTCATGTCTTACAATGAGCACTAAAATTAATAGCATGTTAGATACTATGTTGAAGTTAAAAACAGTTATAAGCTTCAAAAAGGTTGAACACTAAGCCAGGAGGAACAAAGTATTGTGCAGCAAATCCACTGCTTTCTTTTACAGCCATCAGACAACTGGCTTCGCAGAATCACACTGTAGAGCTGACAGTTTGCTTCTACAAAGGCCAGAACCAAACCTGTGATCTACTCACATCTGAACAAGGAAGAGTAGTCTGTGCAGCTGAAGAGCGGACAAGGAAAGCCAGTGCACCAGTCAGCACTGCTTCGTGATGGCCAACAAGCCATGGTGACACTCACAGAGCTTAAGGGAAAAAGATACAAGAAGATAACACAGGAAAACACTTGCAGGAATGGAGAAACTCTGGAACTCCTACAACCTGTCACCAACATTTCTTCGTTATTAAACGTGAAAAACAAACGATAGCCTCCTCTCCCTGGGACCAGAACTCGGTGGTGCCTCGTTCCCATGAACAACCTGCTCTGATCAAGCACACAAAAAGAAACTCTGACCAGGTGCACAACAGAAAACTTTGGTTTGAATGGGAGAAAAATTTAGAGCAAAACTCAAATTCGTAAAGAAAGGAAAAGAAAAAAAGACCAGACTTAACCCAAAGGATAGCCCTAAGGTACTCTTTTAGCTTGGAAGTTAAGTCTCTCCCAGGGGTCATCTTTAACCAAGTAATGCATTGACAGAACACCCAAAAAACAGAACACCCACGAGAAATGGCTCTGTAGAACACTCAGCTACTTGAGACCAAAGGAGCAACATTTGCACATAGCTAAGACAGAAAGGCAAGGAGGGGTAGGGACACTGGTGGGAGGGACAGAAACAGAGCAGAAATGGGGAGAGTGCTGATACTTACACAGGGAGCATCCAATGCTATGGAACAAAACTGTGCTTGAATTGTTGACTGGGAAACAACTGTGCTGTGTAAAGCCTTCAACTAAAACACAATAAAATGTTCAAAAGAATAAAACAAAAAAATACTCAACTTTTTTCTAATTTCGTTTCTCCCTCCATTTAAACAATGGAGAGGGAGGTTAAACATGGCAGAGATACTAGGTTCATAGTGTTGAGAGATCCCTGAAGGATACACAGAAAGCTGAGAATGAGATCGGTTTGTTCAGAGGCAGCCTCGGAGGAACAGCACCAAAAAGAAGAGGTAATAATACAGGGAGTGGCGATGGGCATGCTGGTCTTCTGGTTTAACATCTTCATTAATGGTGGCAAGTAGGAGCTAAATGGCATCTCAATAAATATAGAGATGACTTCAAAAGTGCAGGAAACTCTAGCACAGAAAACTGGCAGAGAACCCAGAGTGAGGGAAAGAGGCGGGGAAAAATGAGGAGCTGATACCAAGGGCTCAAGTAGAAAGAAAATGTTTTGAGAATGATGATGGCAACAAATGTACAAATGTGCTTGACACAATGGATGGATGGATGGATGGATGGATGGATGGATGGATGGATGGATGGATGGATGGATGGATGGATGGATGGATGGATGGATATAAGAGTTGTATGAGTCCCCAATAAAATGATTAAAAAAAAGAACTCAGCGTAATTACAGAAACGTGAAACACAGGAAAAACACACCAATGTGGCGCTTGCCTGTGGAAGGAAAACAAAGACATCTTGGGGCAATATCCACAGCTGTTAAATCAATTCTTACATGGCAACCTGACTCATGCTAAGTCAATTCTGACTCGTGGGCATAGCAGAGCTGCTGCTTAGGGTTCCCAAGCAGTAAACCTTTACAGAAGAAGACTGCCACATGGCTCTCCCATGGTGTAACTGGTGGGTTCCAGCTGTTCATTTTTGTTTAGCAGTCAGGAACCTAACCCTTACACCAGCGGGGCTCCTTCCAGGGGCAACAACCAAAACCAAAAGCTCAGACCATTTGCTGAGCGGAAGAAACTATGAAAACTAGAACGGGTAGGGTAGCCAAGTTGGAAGGCAAAACCCAAAGGGCAAGTTAAGCAGGAGGAGGAAAAACAACCCTGGGTTTTGGCGCTTCAGCACAGCTCCAAGGAAACTAGAGGTAAAAGGAGCAGCCTACTAGTGACCCTCCCTACCAGTGTTTCCCAAAGTGGTTGATACTGCCCCTTGGGGGCACCAGGAAGAACCAGGGAGGCTAGGATACCAAGGTTTTTCATCGCTGGGGTGTGCCAAGTTCTTTTTCTGAAAGGAGGGTGGTAGACCACATAAGTTTGGGAACCTATGCTCTGGAGTCTAAATTTTGAAAAGAAGGGAGGGTTCTAAGATAAGGAGTTGTCAGTAAAGATTGAATTCATGCCCAGAGCGTCTGAGTGGAGTAGAAGCAAGGGGGAGGGGAAAGCACTATGGTTGGGAGAAAGAGCAGATCGAAAGTACTTCAGAACCTCAAAATGGGTGCATAAGCAAATGTGGTGAAGAATACAAGATACAGTGGCTGGGATCTTAAAGGTCTGAAGTTAAATAAGCGGCCATCTAGCAGGGAAGGAACAAAGCGCACATAGAAGAAGCACATCAGCCTGTGTGATCGCAAGGTGTCGACTGGATCAGGTACCAGGCATCAGAAGACCCCAAACAAACAAATATATTGATGCAAATGATAGGGGGTTGGGGGTCAAAGAGGAGACACAAAGTCCATCTGTAGACAATTGGGCATCCCCTCACAGAAGGGTCCCAAGGAAAGAATGAGCCAGCCAGGATGCAGCACAGCACTGACGAAACACACAGCATTCCTCTAGTTCATTAATGTCCCCCCACCCCCAACACTCATGACCCCAGTTCTACCTTACAAATCCAGCTAGATCGGAGCATGTACACTGGGACAGATAAGAGCTCTCAACACACAG